GTTGAAGAAGTCATCCACAGCATTCTTTAGCCAATCGCTTTACCCATATCTTGGTTCCACATGGAGATCATCACTTAATCACTTGATATCACACGGTCTTGGTATCAGTTGTGATATCACAATTCCTGCAAGGATGGTGACTTAGAAAATTTCATTCTAGTTATTTTCTAACCCTTATATCCTCATCTATAAGAATGACAAGTGATGGTACTCATCTTAACAGGTTGTTCATGGTAAAATGAAAAATGTACATGAAGCACTTAGTACTGGGTCTGGCTCATAGGAAGTGCTTAATAAAATCTATTTAATTATTTCCATTCAGGTACTGAAATCTTTATGGCTTTCCGACTGCTTAAATGTGCATGTATTTAAGCAATGCATTAGTTTTTCACACTTAAAATCGTAATGAACTTAAATGTCCATTCCATCTCAGTAAAATTTTCATAGCTAATGAAAGAATATATAAAATTTATCTAGAAAATTGTTCTGTATAAATTTAGGGATAATTATATTTATGCTTTTATTTTTATAATTCAGTTGAATATGTCCTTAATTTATTATAGCTAATAAATTAATTAATTAGACACAAAGCAGGACTATTGACCACCTATATCACAGTTGCCTATGGTGGCATAAAAGTTTATTTAAGTGATAATGTGTATGGTTATTTTTAAGCGTCCGACTCAACCTTTATGATTAGCTGCATATGAGATGTTTAAAGTATGTGAGTGTAAAATGGCTAGAAAATAATTTAAATACTGAAAATCATTTACAATTTTTTTTAATTTCTGCCTTTCAAAACAAACAAAAACTTCGATGCTGACAACATACAATAAAACAAAATTGGAAAAAGGAGCAACAACACACAAAAATGAAATTTTTCCAACCGTTACCTCTCTTGGAAGTTACAGTGTTCTCTAACACAGTTTGCTTAAGCGTGCCAGCTACACAGTAGTTAGTTCCATTTTACTAGATGAATTAAACTCCTTTGCAAAGCCTTTTGGGAGTTACATCACTCTAATGAGAAAAGAGTACTCCCGTTAAGGAGAAAAAGTCACAGACTAAGGTTATTAAAAGTGCTGATTAAAAAATAAAGTAACTTAAAATATAAACAAAATGCTTATTGGGTGAAAACTGGCTAGCTTTTAAGGCACAATTTAAGCTCTTATCAAATATTTTCTCCCTGGTTGTAGGCACCCTGTCAATTCTAGACAAACTGCTCAGACTTTCCAGCCGTGAGGATTACCCACAGGGCAGTTTATTTTTCCTTCTCACACCTGTGCTTAATGAGTAGCATTTTTGCAAACTTGGCCATTTTCAGGGGAAGAAGGGAAGGATTTCTGCCGCCAAAAAAAAAAAAAAAAAAAGATAAGAAACAAAGCTATCTTAATTTATCTCCATCCAGCTTACCTATAGAAGACATAAAATTTATAAAGATACTATGAGTTTTCAAGGCTGAAAAAAAGTTCCAGAGGTTACACAATCAATGGCCTCCCTTCTAGCAGGACTGAAACAGATTAAGAAAGGTATAAAAACCAAAGCTTTTCAGGAAAAACAGCCCACCATCTAAATGTAACATCTAAATGTAACATTTAACATTTAACATTAACATGTAACATTAAAATGTAACATTTAATGTAACCCTTGGGGTCATTAAGTTATTTCTTATCAGGGATAAGATTTTGTTTTTTATCAATAGGCAAAGGATTTGGCTAGGAGTATAGTCCATAATGTGTTTATTAGTATTAAAAGAAACCCATTTTTTACTTGGAAAAATGCCTTTTAAAACGTATCCCTTAAACTGTTTTAATTTCAATCCTTCTAAATGACTGGATCTGGTAAATTATTTTTGTGCTTAACCAAACATTACCATCTCTAACCTTCAACTTGAATGAAGTCGATTTAATTCAAATTTCCATTAGTGTTAAGCTCCGCATTAACCTTCTCCAACATTAAAACATCCAAATAACGCCTCCCTACGCACACACAAATCCATGTGCTTCTTTTTGTTACTGAAAATTTAAGTTGTCTGAAGCTCTGGGAAAATCCTATCACCATGGTAATTCCAAAAAGAAACAAGGCACAGTCCTAAATAAAGATTTGTTCTGTCTGGACCTCATACATGCCATCACACAAATACTAGGTTTCATAAGTAGTTCCTGGTGTAGAAGAAAGAATCCCCTACTGTTTTTAAGGCAAACTTCCTCTTAGAAAAATGAAGAAATGAGGACGCCTTGTGTATGTTGCTGCCACTTAGGCATGAGTCCTTGAAACATAACCAGGAGATGGTAAGCATAAAAGTAAGTAAGTAAATAAATAAATACTAATTTTTAAAATCAACTTTTTATTAAAAAAACAACTTTACTGAGGTATAACTGACATTCTGTAAAAAGTGTACAACCCCTTGATTTTTAGAAACTTTTGCCAAATTGTGCAGTAGCCACCACAATTTAGTTTTAGTACACTTATTTCCATCACCCTAGATAACATTCCTTTTGTCCATTTATAGATAATTCCTGTTTGGGACCCCAGGCACCCATGAATCTCCTTTCTGTCTCTATAGGTTTTTCTTTTTGTCACATTCCCCTCTCCAAATAGAGATTTTTTGAAAAAAGGAATCCAAAGTTATTTCCTACAAGTAGAAGGATGCTGTTAACTGAGGAAGAACTCACCCTGTCAAAATGGAATTTTCAAGGGAGTCCAAGGGAATCTTGTACACTAGACATGTCAGTTGAGTTAGGCAGAGTCAGTGTGGTCTTTAAGATTTAATTATCTCTCCAGTTAGAGATAATAGACTTACAAAGTTACCAGGGATTTTGCTAAATGAAAGAATACTGTAGCAAGCCCTGTTATCTTAACTAAGAAACTGTCTCCATCTCCAAAGTTAAAAAAACAGAAAACCAAAACCAACTTTCAAGTAAAAGGGTAAACTCCCAAGCATTCCTATGAAATTCAGTCAGATATTATTACATTTTTGCATGTGAGACAGAAATATTTCAGTTCCTTAAACAAATTATATTTCTATGGTATTGGAATATAAAAGTTTCTTCTAAAATGTAAGGTGGGCCTTTTTCCCCCAAGCTCTCATATGTATATTATTCTAGTGTATTTTGAGTACAGTAAATATATCAAACTATCATGTTTTCAGTTGACAAAATACTTTCTAACCACTTATTTCCTTCCCCCAGAATCTATGTATTTTAAGAAAGCTTTGGCTTCAGGTTAATCTTGCTTACACCCGGATTTCCAGGTATCCTTCCCTCTGGAAGAAGAAACACTCCAATTCCCAGAAATTTACTAAGCATTTTACAAGGAGCCCTTTTATATTTGAAAGAGAAAACTGTTTTGTCAAGTGATGATGAGAAATTCCCAAAAAACTCTAACTCAGACAGGATTCTAAATTTGGGGAAATCCATGGCACTCTTTCAACCTGGAGTGTTGGTCACAAAGATTCCTCAAGAGGTTATTTTACACTCCTTGTAGGAAACTGATATTTGCTGTGGTTTTTTTGTTTTTAATTCCTGGCATGAATAAAAACAAATGTTAGTTTTGTATCTGTAATGTGCTGGACATTTTATAGACCATAGAGTTCAAATTACCCCTATGGCAGTTACTGAAGGTGGAACTTTTGGAGGAAACAAATACCTTGCAGAAATAAACACTGTGCTAGTATCTTGCGTATGTTCTCTGCAATCCCAACACCAGGAGAAGGAAAAACTTTCAGTTTGGGTCTCTCAGGAGATACTGTGAAAGTTGTGGACGCCTCCTTTCGAAGATCTTTAAAAGCAAGTGCGCTTGTGTTTGGAAAAAAAGAACCAATGTGATGAGTTGCTAAATTGCTAGACTTCTGTGATTCCTTTTCCATTCTCTGAGTTTAAAGGGAAAGACAGGGGAGCCTTAAATGGGAACTTTCCACATTCTTGGAGTAAATAACAATTGAAATATTAAAAATCGGGCAGCGGGGGCTGGATGGGGGGCAGACACTGTGATGAAACTGATGATTGCAAAAAGAAAATGCCAAATAAAAGCAAGACAGGGTTAGGGTTCAGCTGTAGGAGGGCAAGACAGTAATGCTCTTTTTTTTTGCTTCAGCTTTTAGTGATTCAAACAAAATCTCTGCTTTGTGTGCATCTGGCACCGTGAACATGGGCCAAGACACGAAGATCTTTCCCTCTCCACAGCCGGCCCAACTTTACAGTTTGCAGGTTGCCCACGAGTGATTTCCCTTTCGGTGGAAATGGGTATCCCACCCCCAGGAAAGGAAGATTCCCCTGTGTATTTCAAAAAGCAAACAGCTATTTCGTCCTTTCAAAAGAAACTTCGTTCTTTGCATTTCCCCCCGATCGGCAAAGCGCTCCGCAGAACTGCCGGTACTTAGAAGCAGAGTTAAAGGGTTGCTTTTCCCCTCCACTCCCCCTTCCCCAGCCAGCGCTTTCTCAGAGCCAGGCAGCGACGGCGCTGAGACGAGGAGTCTGAACAGGAAGCTACGAAGGCGAAGTAAGAGCCCGAAGTCAGCGCACATGAACCCCCAGAAAGGGAAGGGGTAGGGGGGGGTCCCGCTCTGGACTGCAAAGTCTGGATTCCTACAGCTGCAAGGTGGTGGCTACTTTACGGTTTTTCTTCTCCCAAAATACACTCCAGTAAGCAGACTTTTTTCCCCAGAGTTGATGCAATGTCCTCAAACACCACCACCACCACCCTTAATAAAAAAGAAAAGGGAAGGTGGGGCGGGGAAGCCTTGCAACACACAAGTCCAGCCTCTCCTTCTCCTCCCGGTCTACCCCTTTACAGCCGCTTGCCATCCCTTCCCCCAGCCGCCAAAAAGTTTGACGACCGCAAAGGAAACCGAAAAAAAGTTCTCTGGACCCAGTGCTGGCGGGCGATCAGCATCTCTTTTGTTCGCGGCGAACCCACAGTCCCCCGTGACGTCACCCGGAGCTCGGGCCAATCGGCGCGCGGTCGGCGGCGGCGGCGGCGGCGGCGGCGGCGGAGGCGGGAGGGGCGGGGGGCTCGGGCGGGTCCCTCCTCCCCGGCGCCCGGGGCCTCGCGGGGGGCGGGAGGGGACTGTCCCATATAAGCCCCGGCGCTCTGGGCTCGGCCGCCCGCGCCCGCTGTGCTGTACAGGGGGAGGAGAGGGAGCCCCAGGCGCGAGCGGGAAGCGGGGACCTGCAGCCACAACTTCTGTCGTCTTCTCCATCCCCTCTGTCCCTCTACCCGTCCCCTTCCCCACCCTCTGGCCCCCACCTTCGAGGAGGCGTCAACCCCCGGGAGGCATTGCAAGGGACTTTTCCCGCAGGTTGCGAAGGGAACCAAACTTGGTGGCAACTTGCTTCCTGGTGAGGGCGTCTCTCCCCCCACCGTCTCAAGATGCTCAGGGGTCCGGGACCCGGGCTGCTGCTGCTGGCCGTCCTGTGCCTGGGGACAGCGGTGCCCTCCGCTGGAGCCTCGAAGAGCAAGAGGCAGGCTCAGCAGATCGTTGAGCCCCAGGTCCCAGTGGCTGTCAGTCAAAGCAAGCGTGAGTACTGCCCGCGGGCTGGAACAGACTGCCTCGGGGATGGGACGCCAAAGCCAAGCAAAGTCGTGGCTGAAGTTTTGCGAGCGCGTGTGCGCGCTAGATTGAGAGAAACCAGCTGGGGACACAAAAGGCTCTAGTTTTGAGCAGGCTGGTTCTGAGGCCCTGGGGTAATATAATGCATTGGAGGACAGGGGCTCTGCGATCTCCCCCCGTGTTCTAATCAATTCTGCACGTTCAGACGGTCCTTCTCTGAAGTAATCAAAATTTGCCCTTAAAAAGGAAAATGATACGTGCCTATTAATTTTCCATCTGGGATTAGTGTGGTCCTCAACTGCTCCTTATTTTCTTTGTTACTAAATAGTTGGTTAAATATTTTCAAAATAGGGGTGGGAAGAGGGTAGCTAAATAGCTATGTTGTTTCTAACTTGAAAGAGTTGTAGTTGGTTCAGATTGGTTTGGGGCCCTTCACAAAACTTCACCACGAACAGAGATCGGAATTCCTTTTCCAGTTTTTCAAAGACACACCCTCCTTTGCCTTGGCTAAAGGAAACTGCTTAAAGTTGTTCTTCTTGACTATTACTCCAAAAGAGCATTAAAGTTCCTTGCATGTTTTAAAACGCAATTTCAATTTTCTGTCTTTCAAAATGTTTCCACTTTTTCAATGTAGACCCCTAGCCAGATGGAAATGACATCACTGTATAACTTTTAGCTAAGTTAAAAGAAAAAATTGAAAAAGAATACCTAAATATCCATGTGTCTGAATTCTAGATAATTCTTTGGGTAGCTAGTTTCTATAGCTACATTTTAATAGAATATTGCTTTTTCAGTTTCCTGGTGTTCTGATAATTAACTTATTTTTCTGTGTTTGGTACTCGAGCTCATCAATTTAGTTGTGTAAGAAAATTCCGTAATTTGGAAAAAAGAAAGGGATAGAATTGTGATAACTTTTTCCTTCAATTATTTACAGCTGGTTGTTATGACAATGGGAAACACTATCAGATAAATCAACAATGGGAACGCACCTACCTAGGCAATGCCTTGGTTTGTACCTGTTATGGAGGGAGCAGAGGTTTTAACTGCGAGAGCAAACCTGAACGTAAGTAGTGGGGAGCCCCGAGGTCCCTGTCTTTTAATAGATGAAGGGTGCTTGTTAAACTTTGCACTAGTAAGTACAAAATACATACACCATCTTTCTAATAGAATTACCTGTCACTTTCTCTTTATAAACATTTAATAACTGCTTATATTTGCTTTTCACGTGTTTTTACCTTTAAAGCAAAGAAATAAATCTATCCCAAGCTGGTGCCTAGAATCTTCTTTTGCTTTTACTCTCCTAAAGTTTTTGATGAGAAAATGAAAGATTTTTGTGTGCCCTCCCTCAAAAAACAGTTACTTGTACAGTTTTAACTTATTAGCAAGTAATCTCAAATCTTAAACTGTAAGATTAGGGGCCAGAAAACACACTGGGTACTGTATTGTAAAGTGATTTGTCAACCGCAGTTAACACAAAACCACTAGCTCCTCCAAAGTTCTCCTTCCTTTAGGACCATTGGTATGTTTCTTGTAAATTACAGCAACTTCATCAGAGAAACCCAGATGAGGCTAAAATGGAAATAGCAGGATTATCTAGCCTCAATGCCTGGAGGGAGGTGTGGTTTTCAAATTGTTTGCTTTTTATGTGGACCTTGGTTTAACTTCCTGAGTCAGAGATTGGAATCTGAACCTCTTCCTTCACAATCTAGCCCCATTAGAAGGTAGTGCTTTATATGGCTTTTTCTTAAGGGCTGGAGAATTCTTTAAAATATGAATTAATTTACAGAAAATTCGAGAACTTGTCAAAGGTCAAACACTGTGGCCTTATTAGGGCCTAGGGTAAAATCTGTACCTTTCATTTCAATGTAAACATTCAGTTGTACCATGCTACTCGTAGAACACAAAAGTGGGTTTTTCTTTGGATGGGATTAGTGGACTAGAAAAGCTTTTACCTAAATGAGGCTCACATGGACTTTTCCTCTCCCCTCAGCTGAAGAGACTTGCTTTGACAAGTACACCGGAAACACTTACCGAGTGGGTGACACTTATGAGCGCCCTAAAGACTCCATGATCTGGGACTGTACCTGCATTGGGGCTGGGCGAGGGAGAATAAGCTGCACCATTGCAAGTAAGGAAGACGTTCGGTAAAATGATGCTAAGATATCGTAAATACGACTCTCTCTGTTACCATCACTGTCATTTTCTGTTATCCATGACTGGATAGTCCTATTTTTGGGATTTACCCCTGGCAACCAGGTACTTTTATGTGGTCATCCAACTGGTTCCTGTGCTTCTTAAAGATATGTATGAGCACAGCTAAAATCAGTGTTTAATGTGTGTGGATTTATGAGAGAGAAAGAGAGTGTGTGTGTGTGTGTGTGTGTGTGTGTGTGTACATAGTGTAACCAAGTAGATCTCTTGGGTTCCATTTCAGTAAGACATGCTTAAAGGAGTTGTCCATTTTAAATTACCTGGGCATTTTCGAGCCAGACTGATCACATGATTTTCTGCAGTGCTTGGGAAGATATTCATTAAGAGACCTCTTGCATCTCACAGAAACAGTTACTCTGTAACCAATAGGTTATACCCAGGAAGCACCTCTTGCTATTCCCAAGACTAATATAGAATGATTAGCCCGATAGCATTTTCTAAGGAACTTTAGGGACTGGGCTGACTCATCAACTCTAGTTTAGTTAAGGCAATCTTTCCAGTATGATTCACTGGGTTACCAATAGATTCTATTAACATAGCATTTAATTTTTTTAATCCATCTTTTAATATAAATCATCTTAAAGGTTCTTGTCCAATAGAAAAAGGCAATCCCTTGTGAATAGGCCCAGTCAACTTTCCCATACTTAATGTTAGGGTTTATCCAAGTTTATACACAAATCTCAAGAGTCAATGGCACATAGTGTTTACAATCTAGTGGACAGTTCAGCCTCTGAATGTGCCTTTGGGCTTAACAGCCTAGAAAAGTACCAGGATTTCCACACTTTATGTGTATATACCTGGTTGCTTTCCACCCAAATGACATTTCTATTCTAGGGTAAAATACGACTCTCCCTGCTCCCATACTCCCTCTCCCTACTCCCATACTCCCGAAAGCTGGGTTGTTATGCCTGCTGGGCCTTTTCACTGCATCAGTCTCAGGCTCAACCTGCTGTGTATGAGTGAAGGCCTTGCCTCCTGGGCTTTCTTTTCTGCTTTTAGGACCCAATTTCCTGTGATCTCTCTGGGGAACCAGAATTTATGACCTTTTCTTTGCCATTCAGAGTTCTCTGATGTTTTCCATTGTGCTTTAAGCAACACATTTAATTGAATAGACCCAAAGTGAGCAGACCTGTTAACTTTCCCCCTGCCTCTGATGACAAAGCTGTTCTCCCTGTCTCTACTTTGGCCAACCTCAGTACCTATCCTGGGTGGAACATGAGACTTTTTTTTTTACTTTTCTGTTCTACTCTCTCCTAACATTTGGTTTGTATCTTCAACAGACCGCTGCCATGAAGGAGGTCAGTCCTACAAGATCGGTGACACCTGGAGGAGACCACATGAGACTGGTGGTTACATGTTGGAGTGTGTGTGCCTTGGTAATGGAAAAGGAGAGTGGACCTGCAAGCCCATAGGTGCGTGACTCTTAGGAACCCACAGTGGCTGGGGACGTTCATTTGTAATGATGAGTTGAACCAAAATCACATCTGCATGGACGAGAGACCTGAATTCCAATTTAAAAAATAAAGAAATGGGAATTTTATTTGAAATAATGAAAGGTTATATAATCCATAGTTTTCTTAAAGGAAACAGATCAAAAAGTACTAACTATATGTAGAAACCCTAACTTTTTTAAAAAGCACAGAATAGAGTTGAAAGAGTTAGGATGAAGTCATTTCTTTTGTCTAATATTTGATCTCAGTCTCTTTGGTCAAGATATAATTTATTTAAAAGAAAAATGAGACTTTTGACACATTTCCTTATGAAATGCACTAGACTGAAATGCAAAATAGTGTGTGCTCAGTTTGCACGCTGGTGATTTCTTTTTAAATTAAAAATTGTTGAGCTTCTTTTGGTCTTGATCCTCAGTAGAACTGTATTGGTATAAGCCCAAAAGTTTCTGGCTACGGAATTTTACTCTGTTTACTTACTGTTCTCTAATTCAGAGGTTTTAATTTTGTTTCGTTTTGTCTTTGTTTCTGTAGAAATCCAAATTTTTAAACAGCTTTCTTGTCATTCTATTGAGACCATTCAAAACTCACAATTGGTCATTCATAATTAAGGGTGGAATTTTGCATCTGTGATCTCCCACAGACTAGATACGTACATAGATCCTTGTTACTCAAAGTGCTGTTGTGAAGTTTGCGACTAGCTGAAAATATGCAGTCCATGTACTTATTAGGAGAACGGAATTTCTGCCTGCCAAGTCGGCCTGAGTTTTCTTTTGCTTTGGCTACTTACTCTGTGCTTAGATGCAGGGTGTGCCTTTCTTTCTGAACAGAGTGCCACTTATAAAAAAATGTGGCTGAATTTTTGCTTACACATACACTTTAAATTACAGGGAGGCTGCACAATTCAAAATAACCCTTTTTTCTGTTTTTCTTCCAAATTTCCCTACAGCTGAGAAGTGTTTCGATCATGCTGCTGGGACTTCCTACGTTGTTGGGGAAACCTGGGAGAAGCCTTATCAAGGCTGGATGATGGTGGATTGCACTTGCCTGGGAGAAGGCAGCGGACGCATCACTTGTACCTCTAGAAGTATGTTTAAGATTTTTACGTTACAGATGAAGCCAGGGATTGTTTTCTGAATTCCTAGAGAGAATTGTAATACTGTGTCACTTAGAATACACCCAATACGCCAGCGTGCTCTGGTAACTTTTGGATTTCAAGAAAAATTTCATGACCAACTTATTCTACATCTTCTGAGAAGACTAAATAAATAGAAAAAAAATCTTAGTTCAATAAGATCTTAATAGACTATCAGCTATTAAAAAAGAACTTTAATATTTGTACGAATGCCAAATGTGTTGTGGACCTGAAGATGAGTGGCCAATGTTTAATCTAAATTATTACTGAGATATTTTTCAAGTGTTAAGAGCAAAGAAGTCATTAAAATAACACGCAAATGCGTGTTTTGGCAGGCGGATGCTATTGCTATGGAATTGGAACAAAACTCTAAAGGTTTAGGTTTCTTTCTATGTTTGAAATTTAAGTAAGGCATATTCATAAGCAAAATGGATGAAAATAAAAAGTGTTTATCTTGTAGGATAAAATGATTTGTCTACTCTGGAGTCAAGGATAGTGTCTCTTACCTATCCTTTTTATAGGTAAAGAGCTTTTTATTAGTGCTGTAAAGAAGCTGGCCTCAGGCACCTTTACTGCTCTAAGATTATCTTGATGTCTTAATTATTACTTTCGAGTTTTAGGGCTCCTTTTTTGAAATTTCAAATTAATAACAACTATAGAGTTTGTTGAAGCAAAACAGCCATTAACCTATTGGTGATATAAATAAATTTAAAATCAACTCTAAATATTTTGAACCTATTTTCTTCATCTAGCTTAAAATATTTAACTATCTTAAAATAGCCATCATCCAAATTCAAATTCTTTGCTAACAAAAAATAAGCCTCTCATGGAAAGCGATAACAATTCTGACCAAATCTTTCCATAAGAAACTTGCTGATTATATCTTTTGCATTTAAAATGTTGTTGTGATCCTCAGACTTCCCAAGACCTCTGTGGCAATATTTTAGCTTAAGATAAATTGGATGTCTAATTCAAACATTGGTTTTTTAAAACTCTTCTAATAGCAAATAGGGAAAAGTTTCTCAAAGAAAAGTCATTTATTCTAGAAAATTTTACTTTGTACAGGGTGTCATAGGGACACAGATATGAATGGGACATTAACTCAGCCTTCAAAGAGCGCTTAGTAGGTCAGGGTGATGAGAAGGTCTTATACATGTTTATCATCTACAAAACATAACATTAACGGTTTTGAGAGAATAGTGAAAATAGTGTTGTGGAGACTCAGGGGATGGAAGTACTTTTAGCCGAGGATTTGGAGAAAAGCTCTAAACAGCAATTATACCTTCATTCAAACCTCCATTCTTATGGCAGGTCAGTCAATGTGGGTGTGTATTTGTATGAACATACATCAACTGTGTAATCATTTTTCTCTAAACCAGTAGTTCCAGTAGTGTTTGATTCACAAGTTAGGTTCTCTACACTCACAATGTAGCATGTGGGCAAAGGTGGATTGTAATCCAAACAAACTATTTGCCAGATAAAGGGACATACAGACTGATGGTAATTTAGTTACAAATTATCATTATACATCAATAATCCTAATTTTCTATTGGAGGGCTAACACTGAAGAATTCAAGGGGCTATTTTGCTAGTGATTTTTAAATGCTGCAGGTGTTTTGGGGTAGGGGAGAGAAGAGAACATTTTAGTCAAAGAAATCATTAGTTCCCTGAATTTTTCACATAACAAATGAAGAAAGGGATAGTACTGTCTTTTTATAGCTTCTTTGCAGCAGTTAGTGGAGACCCTTGGAGACCTGCTAGCCTCCCTGTTGTTCCTAGCTTTCTAAAGAAAGCTCCCTATTGCAATGTGGGTCATCCACAGTAATTACCAGGAGAAAGCTTGGGAGAGCCTGAGATGGAAAAAGATGGAGTGATAGAATGCCAGAGAATGAATTTAGTCAAAGGAACGGTGTAAAAACTATAAAAAAAAGTAATGAAAGATAGTAATACAGTTTTTTGGCAAACACAGAGATGGAATTAAACTAAACCACGCAGCTCCCTTTCCACTGTAACAAATGCAATCTCATCTTTCAGAAGTTTCATGTACTGCTCTGGTTGCCGCACCAGAGCTGAATATGAACATATTACCAAAAAAATGATAATTACCAAGCATTAAACTACTATGCAGCATTTCTTTTTTAGGTTGGAACTGACCACTTGCCACTCTCGACCTGATTTACATATTTAAATGCTTCCTTTGTGACACAGACAGATGTAACGATCAGGACACGAGGACATCCTACAGAATTGGAGACACCTGGAGCAAGAAGGATAACCGAGGAAACCTGCTCCAGTGCATCTGCACGGGCAACGGCAGAGGGGAGTGGAAGTGCGAGCGGCACGCCTCTCTGCAGACCACGGCCACCGGTGAGCCATGGGGCGGGAGCAGGGCAGAGCCACCTGTCCCTTGACATGCCATTTGGGGATAGTTTACAGTGTTGTAGCTAATAAGTTCAGCTCATTTACAGATTATCAGTTGTTAAAACTGTTTTTAATGCCAAGTTTTAAATTTTGGAGAAAACTTAAAATATTTGGCTTAGGGGGAGAAAAACTAGGTATAGCTCGAAGAGATAAAACTGAGATTTATGTTTCGTATGTTGCCCTTGGTCCCCCCCGCCAAGTCCGTCTTTCAAATATGTCCATCCTTCAGGTGGTGCGCATTGCACTCCTTTCTGTACCCCCATAATATGCTGAAATAAAAGAAAAAGAAAAAAAAAACTGAGATTTAAAAGAATGCTCATATAAAGCAACATAACATAGATAGATACACACATAGCTACATATATATGTATTTTGAATATCCAAAGTTCCTTTAAAGGAAATGAGAGAGTTCCGGTTATTTATATGTCTACTTGGTTCTTTTGCTAGGAAAAAGGAAAAAAGTACATTTATTCTTTTACAAAATGGAATATACTTCTTTGTCCTGACATTCAGCTCTTCTTGTAGTGGAAACAGTCCTTTAATGTGTGGCTCTACGCTTCAGCAAACTTGGTTGCGTTCTGTAAAATAAGGAAATCATTTTCTCCTTGTATTGGCATTCACTTTACACTTTCACGTTACAATCATTTTCTCCATGGATTGGCAT